TTTTTTTTATCCTAACAGGGCTTTGCTTATGCAAATAAATCAAATCCGGAAGTAATTACAAATGATACGTGGCCAGAGATAGCGGGAGTATTAAAAACCAATACGGTATTGAAATATGATCAAACTTTAAAAACCGTAGAAGCATGGGGTTTACCAGCGTTAGCACAAAGACCTTCGAGACGAGCAGAGAGAAATAGTACTTCAAAGCCTGTTGAGTTATTTAAGCTTCATTTGGGTAGTATGCCTGATAAGGAAAAACCTTCGTTACCAAAAGGGTTGGATTTTAAAAAGGCTATTACAGATTACTTAAGAGAACTAGGTGTGTATTTTATTGAATCTTTTGAAATTATTTTTAAATAATAATATTATTTTGAATATTAATTATAAAATTTATATTATATTCTTTTAACTTGAAAATAGGCAAAGTAAGTTATCTACAATTTTTTTGTTGCAAAATTCAATGAAAGTATTATATTTCTAATTTTTATTTTGTTTATTTTTCTAATAAACAGTTGATCAAAGAAACTGTAGAAACGCGTTGGCCAAACGTTAATTTCATGGAACAAGTATTGTTGATTATGACAGTTCCTGCGGAGTTCTCTGAACAAGCAAATGCAAGTCTTAGAGCTTGTGCCTACAAAGCAGGTAAATAAAAAAAAAAAAAACTGAAATTTTAAATATATTAAATGATTAATAATGACCTCAATACCTTAAATTGAAATAGGTTTAATTGGAACTCAGCAATCGGAAAAATTACAATTTTCTACTGAACGTGAGTTGTCCTCCTTTTATTATAAGTTAAATGTTGAGATACGAAATATAAAATAATTTATATTTTTATTTTATTTTCAGCTGAGGCTGCCGCTATATATTGTATGAAAACATTAAAGGAACATATGATCAATGATGTTGGCAGTAAGTATTTTTTTGATGTAATATAAAATAATATTTTAACACGTTTTTAATATTGAATATTTCGTTCATCTGGAATGAAGGTTCATTTATGATAGTGGATTGCGGTGGTGGTACTGTGGATCTTACAACTCGTGAATTATTGGAAAATGAGAGACTAGGTGAAATTACTGAACGTTCGGGTGATTTCTGTGGTGGTACATATGTAGATAAAGAATTTATAAAATTTTTAAGACGAAAAGTTGGTGATTCGTCTATAACTTTGTTATATGACAATCATTATGGTCAATTACAATTTATGGTACAAGAATTCTGTCGTCGTGTTAAATTACCTTTTACTGGTAATAGGAAAGAGTTCAAAACTCATGAACTTGACATCGAGGCAGTATGCCCAATTCTGAAACAATATGTATCAGGAACTTCAAGGTCAAAATTAGAAAAAGATGAGTGGATAATCGATTTAGAATATGAAGATGTTAAATCAATGTTTGACCCTGTAGTAGGCAAGATTATTAGATTGATTAGTGGCCAACTTAATGCTGGTGCCGGTTCGGGAACTTGCTCTGCGATGTTTTTGGTCGGTGGGTTTAGTGAGAACAAGTATCTTCAAATGAGAATTAAACAAGAGTTTGGAGCTCAAGTTAAGAATATTAATGTCCCGAAACAACCGGTAAATTTTTATTTTATTTTATTTATTTTATTTTATTTTATTTTATTGAATGAAAAGTCATTAACGTTTATTTATAAATACTTTAATTGAAATTTATATTCTTAATAGATTGCTGCTATCGTAAGGTACCTATAAAATTTATAGATTCTGAAATGTAAACTTTTTATCTTTTAATTGCTATAAGAATTATCTCTAATTCCCCATGACTACTTTACCTCATGACTATTTTATAGAGGTGCATTGGACTACGGACTAAACATGAAAACTATTAAAACTAGAGTTCTAAAATGGACCTACGGAATCGAACTATCTCCACAATGGAAAAAAGGTGATCCACCGGAACGTAAGATCTCTCATGGACGTATCAACATTTTTAGTAAACTTGTTTCTCGTGGAACTATAGTTGATGTAGATCAAGAATTTGGTAAAGACTTATTTCCAAGTATAGAAGATCAATCAGCTGCTAGTATGAAAATTTATAAAACTTCTGCATATGAAGCAAAATATCCTGATGAAGAAGGAATGGAAAAATTAGGAGAATTGATATTAGATTTTCCAGATACTCATTTAGGATTTAACCGAAAGTTAGAATTTAATTTAACATTTGGACAAATGGAAATTCGTGCTTATTGTAAAAATCAAAATGGAAAGAGCGTTGATGCTGTATTTAACTTAGAATTTTAAGATATTGAGATTTGATTTTAATACTTTTTATAAGTAATTAATTTTAGTGAAAAATTTTAATTTTTTTTTTTTTACTTTTGGTATTGAATTAATTGGGGTCTGTCAAATATTATTATTATTATAGGATTCACTATTTATTTAATTAAGATCACATCACATTATCTTATTACATATTATAAGCACACAGAATACTTAATTTTTGAAATTCTGTGAAATACATATAACGCCGTCATCACTTTTTTTTTTTTTTTTTTTTTTTTTTTTTCTTTTCTTTATTACAAGGTACAACATTCATTTCATATTTCTTTTCTCCAATGTATGTTTTCGTCCTCTTATGACTTTGAGTTGGTGTTAGGGCATTTGATTGTGTAGTGATATAATCACAATATTCGGATTGATCGTAATAAAATAAATATCTGGAGAAAATAATTGTATACAGTATCACGTGTCTAATGCAAGTCTAATTACAAATAGTTCAGGTAAAAAATTAATTGCAATTAATTTTGTGACTCCCAGTTTTTTTTAGTAAATTATTGATTATCTGATTCAGCCTAGAGGAACCGGGTGTAAAAATTGGACTAATCAAAAAATCGATTTAAGCCAAACCGAATTGACGCTTTAACCGAATTTAATTTGGTTGATCAGTGATAATTCTGATTGGTCAAAATTATAAGATTCGCTTCTATTTATAAAAAATTTAATTTTTGAAATCTGGGTTTATTTGTCAACCGAATTGAAATATCAGAAATCTGAAGTTGAATTGTATAGTTCCGACCTCTATGTTTTGATCATCGACAGATTGTCAACCTGTTACTAGGGTCACTCACTGTACGTATCTTCGAAACTTATATTCATGAATGATTATCTTCTATCAATCACGACATT